CCGCTTCATTTTTTTTTCTTCCTCTTTTCCAGTCGAGGTACTTTCAGCCATGGCAGCGTAAAGTTTCTTTTTTCTTTTGTGTGTAACTTTTCTTATCCTTTTCAGAGTTTGTTTGCTCAGCGAATGAAATTTAGGAAAAATTGGAATCAATTGAATTTAGATTCGATTTATATCGAGTTGGGTTGGAGAAGGAATAAGAAAAGCTGCAAAGTTTTCTTTTTTTAAGGATGTTTAAGAGATTTTCTTTTGTTTATCTTAAGTAAAAGAAATTTCTGATACATCCTGATTATTTATAATTATTAGAAAATTGAGCTTCATTCCTTCCACTCCATTTTCTTTTCAGTATTTTGATCTTTTTGTTTCAGTAGACAAAACATTTGCTTTTTGTTTTGAAAACAATTCGCAATCTTCTTTAAAAGTATTTTGAAGAAATGTAGATAAGAACAACAGCAAGACGAGATATGTCGAAACATGAAAGCACTTTCAACGACAGATTATCTCTAATTTGTAAAGGATAAAAATTTATCTACTTAACTACTGTTACTGTTTGAGCAATAAATATTTAGATAATACCAATTTGCAAATCTTTTTCGTCTGTATCTTGATATTCTTTTTTTGAGGGTTTGTGTTCGTGTGAGATTAACAAACTGAGCATTCAGATTTGATCATCATTTTCAAGATTCTGAAAAGACAAACACAAAACTTTATTTTGCAAATTACAATTTAATACTCGCAACTTGTGCCAAATCAATAACAAACTCTCTGATAAAACGGATAAATTTTGTCAAATCAAATCACAAAATTTCTTCCAATAAAACTCTCATTTATTGATATCCTTGAGCAATGTTATTGATCAACATGAAACTTTTATTCATAGTAAATAGCATCATCAGATTTTGTTTGCCTAAATAACAAAATCAGATCAGAAGTTAATATATTTTATTAATGCTTTTATATCTGACGGGACGACATTATAACCTCCGGTGACTGTGCAAACACAAACCAAATTACAAGTAAGAAGTAAAAGAAATTTGAAGGCCACTCTCCCTAACTTCAATAATTTATAACATTTTTGTTAGTTTCGGAAGTTGTTGACATAAAGAGAACAAACGAAAATTATTCACTCACGTCTTTTAGAAGTTCTCAAATGATTAAATAATAAATAAGAAATGTTAATGCTGATTTATTGTCACGAGATGTGAAGACAACTCATTCGAATAAAATAAATTTTTATTTGTC